TACTTTTGCTTCCAAATCTATAATTAGCGCATTCATCACCGAAGCACTACAGTCCAGATGTTAAATCCATAATATCCACAGACTTTTCTACCAGTGCAGTACTGTTTCTTGTGAAAGCTGAGGATTTATTGACCTCCTTCGCATCTGTTAAGAGCTGAGAAACTGACAGCCTCAACTCGGAAAAGTATGTAACTGGTACTGCACTTGAAGTTATTAACTTACGATCTCCCGGTCTTGTAAACGACCACAACCACTGTTCTCTACAGCCCTTCCTCTATCCCCTACTTTCCAGATGGAAGAGGAGGGGTGTAATTCTCCATGCTTTTTTTAAAGATCACAAAAGAATATATGGGGGAACTTGCCTTGATTGTTGAATCTTCACTAGATGAAGCAATAAGAGTGAAAACAGGATGAAATATAACTCGCGTGATTGGAGAACGATGGCCCGTTAAACAAAATTTTTCTGGCGGTCGTGGAATCCACTCTCCTGGCTGTCGATTTTCTCTGCAAATCAATTCCAGTGTCAAAAACATATAAAACAATAGCTTCCAGGAAACAAAACGATCGCTAGCACGCTGACCACTAGGCAATGCAAGTATTGTAGAAATTTTAGAGATGTAAACAATGAATATCCTTGGCTAGGAGACTGGAAGAGGACTGGGGCCTGAAATTGCGTCTATGGGTTAACATATGCAGTTTGTTTGGCGTTGCTGGCGGTCCACTAGCGTGGAGAAGAGGAACACAGTCGAATTTTGAAAATTATTGGTCAAAACAATGGAAAGGCTGACAGATATATAGCTGAAGAATGATGCTATGAACTGCAGCTGATCTCAGATTGCAAAACAGTATTTTTGAGAGTACACAAGCGTATACAAAAATACTTGGGAAATGTATGAGGGAACAAAACCAAAAGAAAAAAAAAGACCTTGTTGGTGCTCCTTGCATATATTCACGCTCAGCTTCTTTCAGTTTCACTTCCAATTCCATTACTCTCTTCTGCAATCGAACAACTGATGTCCATTTCTTTTCGAGCATACCCGTCGACTTGATATCGTCATTTTCCGACTGAAACACGTATACTACGAATGCCAACACTAATCCCAAAATGATTTATACGTAACATTTTACAACTATAACATTTATGACTTCTTCGAACGCATAAAAAACTCACAATAAGCATATAGGATTCACGAACTGTGATTCCACATGCATTGGAAAGACTTGCAAGGGAAATAAAAT